CGATGAGTTTATTTTGCTCCAAAATATGATTACGACCAGGTTACAAGCCATTCTGTTACCTGGGTTCGTAATATATATTTAACTGCAAAGCCGACAGGCGACATGTTTCGGCAATAAAAATACCCAAGTGTCGCATCTGTGTCTTACTCATCAATTTGTCGATATTTCATACCAATAATATGACACTTATCTTCTCTCTCAGTTCTTCCTCTTTCATAAAACACTGTAATTTTGTATTTAGATTTACCGTTAACTTGTTCATCCAATATATTCAAACTACTACTATCACAATAAAGTGTACTCTAACCGTGGTCGAGTTGAAAGAATAATATAATCGGAATAAGGTGTATTCTCGTATTCTTTCCCTGCCAGTTTTTCAAAAGTTCATTAGTGTACTTAAGTCAACATGCAAGCCCTTCCCAACTCCCTCTATAATAAACATGGTGACTGTGGCATGCGCACGCACACTCGCTCGCCACACACACACACACTCGCTCGCCAGACACTACACCACACCACACCACACACACACACATCACACAACACACGACACACACCACACACACACACACACACACACACACACACACACACACACACACAAGAGGTCACATTTGGAAGTTGAAGACTCGGATGAATCAAAGGGATGTTAGGAAGTATTTCTTCAGTCATATAGTAGTCATGCCGTGGAATAGCCTAGAAAGTGACGTAGTGGAGGCGGGAACCATACATAGTTTTAAGGCGAGGTATGACAGAGCTCATGGGGCAGGGAGAGAGAGGACCTAGTAGCAATCAGCGAAGAGGCGGGGCCAGGAGCTGTGACTCGACCCCTGCAACCACAAATAGGTGAGTACAAATAGGTGAGTACACACACACTCACCACTCTCTCCGGAGTACTGGAGAGAGTACCTCGATCTCGACAGAACACAAGAAAGGACGATACTGAAAGAAAGGGTACAAAGACGAGAGGAGGAATGAGAGGCAATGATGAAGATGAGCAGGACCCAGACCCAGGTGGAAGGGCAAACACACACTCCAGAAACACCTGCAGAAGGACTCCAACCACAACAGCCCCAATGCAACTGAACAACCTAAACCAAAACCCACACACTGTTTCCTCTGTCCCCACCCATGTCAAAAACCTCACCCCTAACACACTACAACCCCCCATAAGCCCTCCTCCAGGGCTCCTGCTCCCCCAACCCCAATATTCTCCCAGGACCACAGTGATAGAAAAGCTGAAGTTTTGGTATATGAATGCGGATGGAATAACGAATAAATATGAGTGGCATGGAAGAATCAATGCAGTCCCCAGACATCATTGCAGTCACAGAAACGAAACCCACTGAGACAATAGCAGATGCAGTCTTCCCACCGGGATATCAGATCCTGAGGAACGATAGAAGAAACGGGGGGATGGGTTGCACTCCTCATGAAAAACTGATGGGGATTTCAGGAAATGGAAGGCGTGGACGAAATTGGAGAAAGGGATTACATAGTAGGTACAATTCAGCCTGGGGTAGTCATCATTGCAATGTTGTATAACCCACCACAGAACTGCAGGAGGCCAAGAGAGGAATACGAAGAGAACAACAGAGAAATGGGGGACACACTGGCTAAGGTGGCCATAATTAGTAACTTTGCTCACTCCAGCAGAGCAAAGTTACTGGTTATGGGCGATTTCAACCACAGGGAGATCTATTGGGAAAACCTGGAGCCACATGGGGGTCCCGAAAAATAGATCCAAGATGATGGATGTGGTACTGGAAAACATCATGCATCAACATGTCAGGGACACTACCAGAGAGAGAGGGGAGGATGTTCATCCTGAGCAGTTCAGACACTGAGGACATCACATATGAGAGGCCCCTTGGAGCTAGTGATCACGTGGTTCTGAGCTTTGATTACATAGTAGAGTTACAAGTGGAGAGGGTAACAGGAATTGAATGGGAAAAGCCAAACTATAAACGGGGAGACTACACAAGAATGAGGAACTTCCTGCAGGAAGTTCAGTGGGACAGTGAACTGGCAGGGAAGTCAGTAAACGAGATAATGGAATATGTGACAATATGCAAGGAAGCTGAGGAAAGGTTTGTACCCAAAGGTAGCAGAAATAACGAGAAGGCAAGGGTGAGCCCTTGGTTCACCCAAAGGTGTAGAGAGGCCAAAACCAATTGTGCTAGATAATAGAAGTATAGAAGGCAAAGGACTCAGGAGAATAAGAAGAGCAGTCGTAGAGCCAGAAATGAATATGCACAGGTATTGCCCAATGGTAATACGAAAATGACATAGCGAAAGCTAAATCTGACCCGAAGCTGTTATACAGCCACATCAGGAGAAAAACAACAGTCAAGGACCAGGTAATCATGCTGAGGAAGGAAGGAGAGATCCATAGAAATGACCTTGAAGTATGTGAGGAGCTCAACATGAGATTCAAAGTGTTCACAGAGGAGACAGAAGGGACTCCAGAAAGACTCCTCTATCGAAACAGGGCGACTACCTGAGGTACGGAAGGCAGCAAATATAGTCTCAATTTTTTAAAAAAATGAGACACACGAATCATTAAACTACAGACCAGTGTCATTAACTTGTACAGTATGCAAAGTCATGGACAAAGATTATCAGGAGAAGAGTGGTGGGGCACCTAGAAAGGAATGAGCGTATCAGTGACAGCCAGCACGGTTTCAGGGACGGGAAATCCTGTGTCACAAACCTACTATAGTTCTATGACAGGGTGACAGCAGTAAGACAAGAGTGAGAGGGGTGGGTAGATTGCATTTTCTTGACTGTAAGAAAGGCGTTTGATACTGTTCCACACAAGAGATTAGTGCAGAAGCTGGAGGACCAGGCAGGGATAACAGGGAAGGCACTGCATTTGATTAGAGAATACCTGTCAGGAAGACTACAGCCTGTGCAAGAATGGTATATAATACCGACAAGACATGTTGCACATGTCTTAATTTCAAGACTACAGCCTGTCATGGTAGGTAGTGAGGTGTCAGAGTGGGCATCTGTGACGAGCGGGGCTCCACAGGGGTCAGTCCTAGGACCGGTGCTGTTTCTGGTATATGTGAATGACATGACGATATGAAGTTAATGAGGAGAATTCAGTCAGAGGAGGATACAGCAGGACTACAGAGGGATATAGACAGGTTTCAGAACTGGTCCAGCAACTGGCTCCTGGAGTTTAACCCCAAGTGCAAAGTCATGAAGATCGGGGAAGGGCAGAGAAGACCTCAGACAGGGTACAGTCTAAGGGGCCAAAGACAATAAACCTCAATCAAGGAAACGGATCTTGGAGTGTGTATAATTCCGAGCACATCTGAGCTTCACATCAACCAAATAACTGCTGAAGCATATGGCTACTAGGGAACCTAAGAATAACATTCCGGCATCTCAGTAAGGAATCATTCCAGATCCTGTACACCGTGTACGTCAGACCCATATTGGAGTATGCAGCTCCGCTTTGGAACCTCACCTGGCCAAGCACATCAGGAAACTAGAGAAAGTGCAAAGATTTGCAACGAGACTCTTCCCTGAGCTAAGAGGCATGTCCTTCGAGGAGAGGTTAAGAGAACTCGATCTGATGACACTGGAGGACAGGAGGGACAGGGCGGGACTTGATAACGACGTATAAAATTCTAAGAGGAATTGACAAGATGGACAGACAGGATGTTCCAAAGATGGGACTCAGCAACAAAGGGTCACAGGGATGTTAGGAAGCATTTCATCAGCCAAAGAGTTGTCAGGATGTAGAATAGTCTGGAAAGTGAGCTAGTGGAAGCATGTACCATACATAGATTCAAGAAGAGGTATGGTAAAGCTCATGGATCAGGGAGAGATTGGACTTATTGACCACCATGAATTCAAATATTTGCGCGCGCGCGCGCACACACCACACACACACACACCCACACACACACACACACACACACACACACCACACACACACACAACACACACACACACACACACAAAAAAAAAAAAAAAAAAAAAAAAAATTTTATGCAGGAAGAAACATGGCTGCTGGAATAATGGTACAAACCTGTAGCAGAGCAGAACTTTATTTAGACATGTTTAGCTTACTGGTGAGATTTTACAAGTCATGACTTTAGAAAGCTCACCTATGAGCGAAACATTGTGCAAATAATTGCTTTGCTACAAGACACCTGCTTCCTCCCGTTCTTTCCTCGGTGCTTCGGGACCTCACCCTCACTCTCAACTAAAGCTTCAGTTTCACGCCTGAGCTTCACTTTAACAGTCTGCTTCTCCCCAAACTTCATCCTTATCCAAAACTTTACCCTCACCCTGAGAAAATGGTAATTCCCAAGTAATATTAACTGTAGTTGTAATGGAACGAGACCTTAAAAACTCCCATAGCTTCTGAAGCCATAGTGGAATGTTTGACTGTTTTCTGAAGTTTCTCGACTCAGGCTGATTGTGTTGTACAAAACCCATCCTCTGTAATAAAACATGACGGGGAACACACAGCATTTGCTCCCACTATTTAACTCTCATACGTATAGTAGTAGCTCACAGCAGATGTTCAAATTCAGTAATTCTAAGAGTATGGTAACAGCGCACAGCAGCAAGAAACACATTGCAGATGCACTAATTTTATTTAATAGCAATTACGAAACAAGCCTCGACTTCAACCACAAGTTTTACACTTTTAATTTGTCACGTAAACCGTGTCAGATGAATTAGGAAATTAAAGTTGAACATAGGAAAGAGCAAGGTGATAAGGATAAAAAATATAGATAATGAAAGATTGGATAGCAGATCGGAGGAAGGGAGTATGAAGGAAGTGAATATGTTCAGATATCTGGGAGTGGACTTCTCGGAAGATGGGTCTATGAAAGATGAGGTGAACCACAGAACTGACGAGGGGGAAAAAAGTGAATGGTACACTGAGGAGTCTGTGGAGACAAAGAACGTTATCCATGGAATCAAAGAGGGAAATGTATAAGTGTGTTGTAGTGGGTGAGGGTGGCACTGACCGTCTACGATGAAGACAGTTGTGGTGGCGGGGAGGGCAGCGTGGGGGCGGCACGTGTAGTTACCGGCGTCGGGCGGCGCCGCCCGCACCACCGACACTCTGGAAGTCACCACCCGCCCGCCCGCCTCTGTGTGGATACTGACACCACCCCGAGGACCCGCGATGCTCAGTCTGGTGCTGTTGTGCTCCCACTCCACCTGCCGGTGTACACGTAAGATCACATGAGGGCACGGGCTAGGAAATCTTATTGGAAGGTCGGGCAAGGTTGCAAATCACTAAAGGATACAGGTCAAGAAAGGTTGCAGGTAAGGAAAGGTCGCAGGCCAGACAAGGTTGCTGATGGTCGGACAAGGTTATTGCTCAGAAAATGTCATTTAAGGTAGGCTAAGGTCACAGGTGAAGGAAAGCCACAGGTCAGGAAATGTCACATATAGTAAGTCACATTATAAAGAGATCTCAAAAGTCCTGTAAAAGGTACACTATCAATGAATGCCCCCCCCCTCCCCCACAAGGTCCAAAAAATAAATTTTCAGAAGTTAAGGAAATGTCATAGAATGTCAGAAGAGGTCACATAAAAGTAGATAACATTATACTAGGTCAGGAAATGTTGAAGAAAAGTTCCACAAAACCAGGAAATGTCATGTCAAAGGGGGGACATGAAATGTTTCATGATCAGAAAAAAAACTATTCAAATCAGAAAAGGTCACACAGGAACATAACCCCAAAAAATCACATAAGGTCAGGATCATAGCTATGGTAATTTTGAGCAGCATGATCCATGTGATAGCGAAAGCCATCACAAAACACACAGCGATATATCCTAGATCAAGACAAACTGAATAAAATGGTTTTCAGATAGGAAAATGCCACTGGACTATTGAAACATGACGCACCTGGGCGTTACCTGTCGTGAGTCAGTGATCCTCCAGGTCGTGAGTCAGTCAACGTGATCCTCCAGGTCGTGAGTCAGTCAACGTGATCCTCCAGGTCGTGAGTCAGTCAACGTGATCCTCCAGGTCGTGAGCCAGTCAACGTGATCCTCCAGGTCGTGAGCCAGTCAACGTGATCCTCCAGGTCGTGAGCCAGTCAACGTGATCCTCCAGGTCGTGAGCCAGTCAACGTGATCCTCCAGGTCGTGAGCCAGTCAAACGCTGTACTTATATTCCAACGAATCTGTTTCATTTATATCTCCAACTAACTCCTCTCCTCTATATCTCCCGCTAACTAATCTCCTTCATATCTCCCACTAACTCCTCTATATCTCCCTCTGAAGCATATCTCCTACTGACGTATATGTATCTCCCACTAAGTCTTCTCTATATATCCCACTAAGTTCTTTCCACAATATCTCTCACAAACTCATCTTCTCTATATCTACCACTAACCTCACTTTCCACAGTATCTCCTAACTCCCGTTTCCACATCTCCAACTAACCTCTTTCTACGATATCTAGCCCTAACCCCTCTAGCTTTCATCACCACTGTTTTCCACTAACTCCCTTTTCTCTGTTTCCTACCACTCAAGCTGGGCTTCAGTATTTAAAGCTGGAAAGTACAGTGTTTGTACTCTAAAAGTGTGTTGAGACTGTTGTGGGTTGCTGGGTCAGTAATGGACGGCCAAGCCCTGCCCTTCTCGAGAGGCGACTATGGAGTAACAGTAATGCATTTTTTTTTTTTTTTGGGGGGGGGGTTCCTTCGCCTAGGTGGAAAACGGCTAATAATTTAGGTTAAACTTTTATTATTAATATATTATTATTATTATTAATAGTAGTAGTAGTAGTATAGTAGTGGTGGTAGCGGTAGTAGTTGCATATTTTTTATTTATTATTATTATTCTTATTAAATCTCCGGAAGGGTACCTTGAAGAGCGTTGCCTGATTTTAGCCTCCTACTTTTCTATTTTATTTTGCTCTTTAGTCGACAACGCTTCATCCAATCGGCTTCAAATTTTGAAATCCACTCGTTCCCTAGGCTTTCTCAATTTGTTAATCTTACTCCACCACCACGAGCAGCAGTATTAACAACAGTAGTAATAGTACAACAACAACAACAACAACAACAACAACATCAACATCAACATCAACATCAACATCAACATCAACATCAACATCATCATCATCCATGAACAATGATCGTACAATGGCCAGTCAATAAGCAGGACTGTTATTACGCTAACAAATCAGAGAAAACTTCTTGTTTAGAGTGCACAACCAACCCATGGCTTTTTCTTGAGACTGACCAATCAGTGAGGAGGTGTCTTGTGAGAGTAAGGGGGCGATAGCATCAGCCAATCAGGTATAACGACGCTGAGAGAAGGTTAGAGCTGAGACGCTATTGCTTCTCAAAGTAAATGAAGAACAAAAGTCTAAATGAAGTGAAAATATCAGAAGAATAATGAAAGTGTAAGAAAAAGTGAAAGTAGAAGTGGAAAACAGGAAATACAGGGAAATAAAATAAATGTCAATTATATATCATTTTTCCCCCACAGAGTTTCCTGCTAGACGCAGGGTCACCTTAACCTGTGTGTGGTAGTTTATGCCTCGGGGTCGAGGGTTCAACTCATGAGACGGGTTCAACTCTCGATACGGGTGCTTATCTGACTTGATTTGCAGTATCTCCTTCTCTAGACATAAACAGTGTGGGTTTTTACCCTTACATAAAAATTTGTAGATGCTTATGAACAATAAAATGAAACAAATTATTGATACAAATTGTGGCATGTATGTATACAGTGCTAGTCACGGCATTATGCTGCCCCTCCCCCACACACGTTCCAAAACAGAAACACATACCATGAAAGATTATATCTATTTGCATACTTACTGAGGTTTTAATACTTGTTGTTGCGTCCTTTACGCTCAATCACGTTCCTCGGCCATGTAAGAAGACTCTCAAATTTTTGAGGGTTTGGTGAGGTATTTTATTCCATGTCTCAAGTAGAGCAGCTTCCAGCAGTGGGATGGAACTGATATCCTTGCCCAGTAAACTTCGTTTCACTATAGAGCAGAGGTTCTCAATTGGGTTTAGGTCTGGGAAATTTACTGGCCAGTCATTAAAGAACCTCGCTTCATAGTCCTTAAGCCATTGAACTACAGATTTGACGGTGTGACACGGTGCACCATCCTGCATAAAAACCGTAACCCCACACTTGTCAAATGCCTCAGGTAAATTGTCACACAATAACTCCAGGTAATTATACTGGTTCATATACTGGTTTTAGGGAAGCACAATGAATTCACCAACACTCTGAGCACTGAAACACCCCCAAACCATGAGCGAGTGTGGGTGTTTGGTGATCCCACAGGTGTAACGTTGGTCTTGCGGGTCACTATCTCTGGGCTAGTACACATTCTCCCACGGTTACAGGTGACGGTGAAGGTTTCTTCATCACTCCAAAGTACTTCAGACCACTGTTGAGGATTCCAGTGAAGATATTTCTTTGCATAATCCAGCCTACGTTTCTTCTATGGCTTAGAGAGGATCGGTTTCTTAACCTGGCGGTGGCTATTGTTGCCCAGTTCTAATATACGTCTATTAACAGTTCTTAGAGACACCTTTGAGAGAAGATGTAGATTCTTTTCTTTCAATTCTCTAGCAATTATCTTAGGTGTACTCTCTAACTGCTTCTTTAACACAGTTAAGGTAAGAACAGATGTCTTCTTCGAGGAGCCAGGCCAAGATTTGGCAGACGGTAACTAGACACCGCCACCAGCCTTGAAACGCTGTACCCAGTTCCTCACTGAGCATTCACACACACCAACATTCTCCACTATTTCTTTCGTCTGGTGCCCGACAGTGTGAAGCCCTATGATTCGAGCTATAGTTTCAAGTGTTAAAGACTTCCTTTTACCCATAATCAAACATGTATAACCCTAAAACCAAAGGAAACACTGGACAAAATATGTGGCGGATGAGAGAGAAAAGTGGAACACTTCCTCTCACCATGTAATCACGTGAGCACTGCGGAGTCACTGTGGAGTGTGGCGGCAGTCCGTGACGTCATGCTAACGGCTGCTACCAGGCATAATGCACTGACGAAAAAAAATCCCTGTGTATGGTAGGCCTTTGATATTCGTCACGGCATTATGCCAAGGCCCTCACCCAGCATAATGCTGTGACTAGCAGCATATATATATATATATATATATGCAATAAGATCACAGTAAACAGGTGATTTCAGAATATGCAAAACAACCACTCTGAAAGAATAGAGAAATTCCAAGCGCTTTCGTGACTGCTCACATTATCAAGGAACTATGAAAGTAAAGCATCCAAGGAAGCTATATAAGGGGTCTGGTCGGCACCTCACTATCAGATCCCACAACGGTTTAAACACGTGACGCGCGGCGAGCCAACTTGGAAAGGTCCTTGGCACAACTCACCCCACAAACTATTCTACCCAAGAAATAAGAAATTTTAAAGATTATTTGTCCAGTGTATTATTAAATTCTTCCCAAATTCTATTAATTATAAATGGATCTAATTTATATAAACCCAAGGAAATATTCATATTATTGTCAAAACTGCTTTTTATGAAACAAGATTCAATTATATTCCTGTCGACCATGGACTTGCTTGATACTACTTTCTCAACTTTTTTGAAAATCAATTGGATGGTTAAAATCTCTTACATGAATAAATAGAGCATGGAATCTTGTCCAGTTCTAATGCTATATTTATGTTGTTTAATCTTAGTTCGAGATTTTTACCAGTTTGACCGTAATAAACTTTATCGCAAATTTTACAAGGAATCTTATAGACACATCCATCAGCATTTTGGGGGAATTCTTTATCAAAAGTTTTTTTACTGTATCGAGATTTTTGAATATAACTTTAATATTAAAAGTCTTAAGAAGAGAAGGCATATCAACCAAGTTTTCATGGTAAGGGAGAACCAACATATTTTTATTTGAATAAGGCTGGTTGTCCCTTTTTGGATTGTAAAAAGTATTTCAGGCAACTTTAAAAGATTTATCAATTACATTTCTTGGGTATTTTAAATCATTACCTATTTCATAAATTTTGGATATTTCCTCATCTATGAACTCAGGACTACAAATTCGTAAAGCTCTCAGAAACATTGATGAGAAAACAGACAGTTTGACTCTATCTTGATGCGAGGAATAATAGTGGACATAGGAACAGTTATTAGTAGGTTTTCTGTAAATTTTAAATTTGAATTCATTATTACCCTTAA